CGTGTACCTGATTGGCCCCTTTGCCGTTTGCTACTAACTTTCTTTCGCTGAAGCAACTATCCGGTACCGCACACGCCTGATTCATTTGCAGACCCTGATTGGTCCGAATGGCTACAGCCGGCTCCCCAAATTTGCTCAAGCGACTAGTTATTGCCACAGGCAGTGATTACGTAGACATTAACAATCGCCAATGTATGTATGTATGCATTCTCAGCAGTCTAGCAACCAGACACAACCAATAGAAAACCATAAAGATCCACGGATAAGGCAGTCATTGCGTCAGAATCATCGTGACATAATAGTTGAAGGTGATCAACACACTTCAGCTAATATGCTGCAGGAAGAATGGAACATTGTGACAGAAAGTAGAGCAAAAAACTTTTAGTTTGTTTTTCACACGCTGATTTTTCTCTTTTTGTCATTTCCAATGTTTGAAGCATTAAACATGTGAATCGAAAAATTCTGCACACAATTCTTCCACTGTTTCCGGTTGCTGGCCATGTCTTTAAGAGTGTTAAGCCATTCGCACTCCTCATCTTTGGGTCCCCATCCTGGAATACGTACGGATCCAAAAGCGGCTGGACACGACGTTAGCGATTTCATGTGCTGCCGCCATGTAGAAGGCTGACCATCAAGCGGTCGCTTCCAGCCAGGTCCTTGACGAGCGAATAGAGCGCGACGCGGTAGACGCACAGGTGCCATGCGTAGGACGTGACCGAGCCATCTCAACTTGCGTAACAAAACCAGTTTGTTGAAGGGAATATTCGCATTCCCGAAGATGCGGCATCGAACCTCATTACTATTAACTCGATGTTGCCACCAAACACGAGCAATCCTCCTTAGGCAACCGTTAACGAAGGCAGAAAGACGATGCATGTCTTCCACGCGAATCGGCCAGGACTCGCTCCCATTCAACAACAATGAGCGAACTGATGCGCTGTAAACGCTGCCCATTAGTGAGAATAATACGTGGCGACGACGCCACAAGTGCCTCAGATTGACAAATGCTGATCGACCTTTAGCGATGCGAAGAGAAACTTCTTTATTGATAGTGCCGTCAGCAGAAACACAGCTTCCAACGTAGACGAAACTATTTGCTTGTTCAAGTTGTGCACCTTCGAGAGTGAGCACTGGTGCAAGTGAAAACCAATGCTTGAGAAGTACTTTACACTTAGATGGGGCGAAGCTCATGTCATACTTAGATGCCTCAACCACCAAAGGATCCTGAATGAGTTGCATACCCTGAGGATCGTCATCAAGTAAGGCGATATCATCAGCATAATCTAAGTCGGTCGCGCGCTCACCCGGTAGAAGCTCTAGGCCAAAATGTTAGAAACCTTCCGATTGCAAAATTGAAGAGGAATGGGGGACATAGGGCAGTCCTGTAGCACACCGCTATTGACAGCGAATTGCGAAGAAAGCTTGCCATAGACCCTCACTCTGCCGGATGTATGAAAGTAAAGTGCTCGTAAGATGGCGGTATATTTCTGTGGCACCCCGTTCTTTAGCAAGCAACGCCATAAAGCAGGTTGATCAAAACCGTCACGTATGTCTAGGAATGCAACGATAGTGGGCCTGTGATAAAGGTGGCGATGTTAAAGGAGCTGGCGGAGCGTGAAGATTTGATCCACGCATCCGCGGCCGAGACGAAAATCAGCTTGTTCTTCACGGTAGTATGATTTACGTACTGGGGATGGTCTGCGAAGCAGTATGGATGCCAATTGCTTGGAGGCAACCGAAATAAGACTGATCCCGCGATGATTTACACATGAAATGCGAGCGCTTTTTTTGAAAATCGGTACAATAATTGATTCACCCCAAGAGGAAGGCACTTTCTCTTCATGCCAGATTTTCGCGAACAGCGCGGTCAGCTGGTTAATGATCGCCACACCGCCGTAGTTGAACAACTCCGAAGGATGTCCTTCTGAGTCGGGAGCATTGAACCGCTTCAAGCGTCGAATCTCGAGGCAGACTTTCGCTTCGCTGGGTGGATTCAGTGGGACGAGCCAGAGTGGACAACAAGGTGTACTGCACGTACTGATGGATGGTGGAGACCAGATGAACTGCGAGTGAAAGTGCTCGGTCCAGCGGTCCATACGCTTATGTTGGTTGGTGATCGGAGACTTTGAGTCGCCAATGGACACCCTTCAGTAGCACGACAAGCTGTACGTGAGTGCTGATGCTGGTTAGAATAAGTTTGACGATTCAGACCATCGTTAGCTGCTACCCAATGGTCACAACACTGAACTCCACGACAGGTTTCCTGCTTGGCTGAGCTCATCAAGTAGCGATGGCAGGGTTGCGACTCGAACTCTGGATCCTAAGTGTTAGCCTGAACGTCTACCCGATTACATATTTGGGACCAGTCTAAGGTCGTTTAGCAGGAATAGTCTAAAAGACGATATAAAAAACATCAAATGGGGACTTCAATTAAGTTTAGCCAGAGAGCAAGGCACGAATATTAAAGCGGGGTGGATTCAACAGTAAACGATGAGAACGGAAATTGTACGGTGATATGTAAAACTACATTAAAACATTTGAACGAAAATTGAAAAAGGAAATGAGAAGAGAGTAGAAAAGATAAGGCAGCTAAATTCCTCATAAGAAGAGGGAAATCGAAGGGACGAACTCGGAGATGCGATGGTGCATACATGACAAAGAACAGTACGTAGAAGATAACGAATTGCCATTTGAAAAAATGATAATCAGTAACTTGAGACACACAAGCGGCGAGATTCTTCACATATCATTACAATGCCGTCGACTGAACAAATAGGTATAATGTTAGCATCCTAACAGCAGGTTTTCGAAGGATTTGAGATTGCCAAGTGGTTCCACCTCAACAAGCACTGCGTTACGACACCGGATGGTCCGTTAGCAAACTCTAACTGGCATAATTCAACATTATCCATTCGGTGCCCCACCAGATATGAGCAACAATTCGCAAGCATCAGTTATCAAACAGGACCCGCATCTAAATAACTGAAGTTCGTGGTGGTGGTGCCTCGGATTTACCAGAAGAATAAGTTCAAGTACCATCTCCGAAAAAAGAATGGGTGGCTGGATCGCCAATAGATGCAAGGGACGAACTTTATAAATTCAACTAAACTGAACGGATTGGAGTTGAGAAATGACACACAAACGGTACTCATCGATGGAGCATCAACATAGGTGATGCAACCAACAGAGATGATGTCGCTACCAAGGCCAGGGGACAGTCCGATCACACAGAGTATTGTTTGATGATGGCGAAAACTAGTCACCCCTGAACTCACACACACACACACATATCGGAGAGCGGAGCGATTTCTCAGTCAGACCCGAGAAAATTCATGTCGTTCGCGAACGTCAAGGTTGACACCCAGCACCAGACAAAGTTCCGTAGAAGTAAAACAGAAATGGATGAGTAGATCGGGGATAGCAAACCCCACTCGTCGTGGTGATTACGGAAAACATTTCCAGCATATCCGGGAGTTTAGAATCGGAAGAGATTCCTTACGTATGCCTTCTGATAATGAGTATTACCATGAATAGGTGTGGTCAACTGGATCAAAGGCAGCCTTCAGTTCAATGAGGAATACTGTGATGGGCTGTTTATATGAACTTTAATCATCTGTGGATGTGTGAAAATACAGCCAAAAAGCCCTTCCCTAGTCTAGCTTCCATCGATTCAAATATAAGCCAAAAGTGAGCGGTTTCAGTGTGCTGCATACGAATAGCCTGATGCCTATACAATACGAATAGGCATCAGCAGTAAACCGGCGCATCGTAGTGATGCTTCGCTGAAACGCGACCATGACCGGTGGCGAAGGGTCGCCCGCGCGTACGTGGATTCGTACCGGTGACCTCCGGATTTCTAAGCGGGCATGTGAATTTTGCGACCACTAGCCGATAATGCAGATGAATAGTTTTGATACAACAAAAAGGAAACGGATACATCAGAAGTCTCCACGAGAGACGGTTGGCGAGTTTGAACAATCATAGTTAGCAATTACTAGTCTGAGTGGGAGCCAAAAATGAGTCAAGTCAGTATGTTTGTAACGATGGAATAGGATGATCGGAGCTCAGCAAGATAGGTTATGTGAAAATTAGTACCATCATTATCACCGGACCTACACCTTTCCAGAGAGGAGTTGAACCATTGAAAGGTGGATCGAATTACACTTAGCAAAGTGCGATGATCACCTTTTACGCGTCTTCAGGTGGTGAACCATTAGCGTGCCTACAAATAGCTAACCAGTTGGGAGAGCGGGATGTGGAATTACGGTCCAGGAGTAGAGTGTGCAAGATTGGAAGACCACTGGTGAGACCGAGACATAAGGCCGTACACTTTGTTGCCTCACAACTACCAGTCGCGCATAAGCGAGTGACATTGAGGTCGCTCGAACCTAGGTAGATCCGAATCGGTGGGTTTTGGGTTAGAACGCGGACAATTCACTCCTTCGAACAAAATGCACTGAGATTTTGGTGGTGTTCAATTCTGATACAGAGTAGCTGCTCGAGCGGTGGGCTCTAAGCAACCAGGACTACCGCATCATCCGTTTTCAGGGCACACACCTCCGTTGTCTGCTAAAAGTAAAGTTGAAATGGAGGGTATATCCTCTAGCCTTAAGCTCTGAGTGACCGAAATGCTTCAAACACTCTAATAGCACCAATATGGCTCGGCGCATGCGGAAAGACAGTTGATCAGCAATAAATGAATTGGTTGAGCTCCGTTGTTTGTGTAACCTAGGGAATCAAGAGACCAAAGTCGGGGAGTATTAGCAGAAACGCGCTGTGGCTTAGGGGGGGGGGGGAACCAGCGTAGACGGGAGAAGTGTGGGTAACTGTGTTCAGGAAGGAAAATGCATCAAAATGAGTTTTATTCGTAAGTCTATGAATACTAACGGTGCACTACAGGACAAAGTTCCTGGCAAAAGAAATACACATCTTGGTGGATCACGTATCACAACTGCCGTAAATCTTCGGTTAGAACAAGGTGGAAATACAAAAGCACCGCATTATATTTGAGGCAAAAAAGACAGAAAATAACGAGCGGACATACCGGTGTGAACCTGTGTATCACACAGTTCCGATAGAAGAAGATATTTCACAGGCGAAGGGAGCTTGGTGATGGAATGAGGGAGAGCAAAGGTTCCCCATTCGGCCATGTAAGCGCATGCAAAGTTACCGTGATGATGTCTAATGCCGGAAGCAAATGAGTCGCGTAGCTCCCTTGCGATATGAGGGCTAGCTTGGCAAGGCATCCATTTGCTTCGGTGCGACAAATTTGAGGCTCGGTTTACGCAGTGTTGTGAGGATGGATGTGTTTGGACACTGCTTGGTCGGCGAACTCCTTTAGATTGGGAAACAGACTCGTTAGACAGACAACTTGCCAGAGAACTGCGTGTAGCATCCTTTGAAGAGCCATTGCCAGGCATAGACAGAGCAGAGCTAGTAGTTTGGAGGCCGCTCAGGGCAATGAAAAGATTGACAAGGTCGGTTCGTCCGAAACGTATGGCCAAATCAACCAAGGTCGATCCGAGACGGAATTTTGGATAATTAGTGGCAGACACGGAATCGTCAGTATTTGTTGAACCCAATGCAGACGCACCAAGTGAAAAAGGGCAGGTCAGCTCATGCTCCAGCACGCGACAGGCTGTGTCGAATAGGACAGAGCTATGTAGAATATCGCTGGACAATGGGGGCTGGTGTTGGCTTTCAAGATGGCGGCAATCCTTTGGGAAGAAGCAGGATGAGGGTAAAATTACGAGGCTACCAAATTAACTAAGGGGCTAAAATAAAATATAAAACACAGAAGCTGGAATAAGAGGAGGCAGTTGAACTATGGCAAGAGTAAAGCATGGTGGATGTAATCACCAAAATAAAGGGCAGTATCAGCATTAATGATAATGAGGAGTGCGTTAGGTGTCACAAAGCCAAATCAGACGTCAACATTGTTGGAAGACATTTTCATGAGATAAGTAGATGGACATTTAATATGATTTTTTGATGAAACCGAGAGGGGCCAGAGCCCTGGGCTTCATCGTAAACAGAACAACGGATGGTAAGTGTCAGTAAAAGTGAGAAGAGCATAAATACAAGGAAAAAGGAAACAAACATTAGACACATTATAGAAGAACCGGGCGTTTCATTGAATTCTAGTGAGTCGGTGGTTCTTCTATACACTTGATAAACACAAGACACAAAAAGGAGGATGCAACAGTATGCCTTTGTAGGATATCACAAATCCTTCAGCAAACGCAACTTCTAGAGTACGAAAAACAAGGTCAACTAAAACAACAAACAAAATAAATGCGCGAAAATACTAACTGAAACGCCAAAGAAGTAAGAAGAAAATCGTATTGGTAGTACAATTGCCGTCTGCATTGGTAGGGAAAAACGATAGATACCAATTTAGAACGAATACTACGATTTTTCTCTAAAGAGAACGGGCATCAGCATAGCGGTGGTATTACATACCGACGCTACGCCGCTACGCGAACACCGGTGGTTGAGTGCGGGTTAGGAATACTGAGGTCCCCTGTACCTGAGTAGGATCAAACCTATGACATGCGGGTTACAAGCTAGAGGCCTGAACCGATGGACCACTAGTCAAAACTAAAACTTGACAACTTAGAGAGCAATCGGTGTGGAATTCCCTAGTGTTGTTAGGAGTAGCACCGTTTAGGGAATGGACAAGTAAACCATACACGAATCAAACTACAACCCTTTCCGAGAAATCAAGCAGAATAAGCGAACTGGTTGATCAAAAATGTCGACAAAATATCCTAAGGGTAGACATCGGAAAAATAGTCAGAAAACAAGCTCTTGTTTACCGTGGTTCTTCATCAGCCTAATATACCATGAGTGAAAGACATGGAAATGTAAACAATACATGAGTACATATTAAAAAGCCTAGATGGTCTAAGTGTCCAAGCTAAGTGATTGGTCCCGGCGCGATCAGGATGTGTGTGTGTGTGTGTGTGCGGCGCTGTCCACACCTTGCGTCAGTATGATAGAGAGCCAGGTTAGGTTAAGTGGCAGGACGAATTTCTTATGTGCGCACAAGTCAGGGTCATGAAGTCGATTAGTAATCGCTTCGGCTGCTGTCAACAGGCGACAGTCGAATGCTCATGTATGGCGTCTGGGTGCGCGGTGGATGGGATGAACGCCTTGTGTGCATCGACCTGGTGGTTCGAATAAACCAAAGATGCGGACACAGCGCTTGCCACTGTTCTAAGCAATCCGCTTTATAGTCTCCTGGTGATTCTTCCGATATATCTTGATCGACAAGAACAAGAGAAAGATCAAGCACAAAAAGAAATACTTGACCGCGGAATAATTCCCTTAAGTTTCCGGTTCAGAATTGGAACCGAATTGAAGCTTAACCATAAGCCTGCTTCATACTGCGTTTGAGAAATGACTTTACAAAGCCTTCTAGATGTTGATCCAGTTACCCTGTCCCCCTTGAACGGTAGCGATAGACCAGGTTTTTTCCACTAACATCAAGTTGCTCTTTCATTCCTTATCTCTGGTATCCGACAATGGAATTCCGTTTACATCTTAACACTGCTGAATTTTGTGCGCTATACGACATAGGCACGTCCGCTCACCTCCGAATCATCCTCAGTCCAATGGACAAACTGAGAGGTTTGTGGATAAGTTCAAGAGGGCCCTGCTCAAAGCTGAGGGAGACCGACCAACTCATGGGATCCTACAGTCCTTTCTGCTAACACACAGGATTATGCTTAATCCACAGATGCCTGAGGGAAAATCCCCAACAGAATCGCTTTTACTCAGAAGACCTCGAACGAAATTTGATCTGATAAAACCGCTTGATAGACCAAAAGCGGAAAGCAAATGGATAACAAAGGGAATTAATACAACTCAAGACAACACGCTACGCCACGGCATTTCGACATTGGACAGGTGTTGGCAAAAAGGTACCAGAACAACAAAATCTCCTGGACATCTGGATTGGTTATAAAAAGACATGGCCACGTGAGCTATGAAGTGGCCGGAAACGACAGGTGGGTTCGCCACACCAAGCAACACACCATTCGATAGATGAGATGTACTGGTCACACCACTTAAAATACTTTTCGATGAGTTCTTGCTGTCAAGGAAGGAGGCTCATCAGTAAGATAAGCCCATCGCACCATCATACTCTCTTGCACCCGATTGTCGGCGCAAATGATAGACAGACGGTAGCCGAGTCCCAGTCGCGCCGCTGCAGATCGACCCGACTGAGACCAAATAACAGTGGACAGGTAAGTGTTATCAGGAGCACCTCATAAGAAATGGATCAGTAAACCCCAATTAGACAAGAATACAACCTTTCTCCAGATATCTAGTGGAATAATCGCAATGGTAGATGAAAAGAATGTTTCCTGATAAGCAAACATTATTAATCGTAAGTGAAGAATAAATGACATCAATGAACGTTTAAGGTCGCTAAGAACCCATAAATATCGATAGTCAGCGCCATGTAATTTCCTCGTGTCTGGCGGAATTTAAATTGGTGCCTGCAACCCTACCTTCTTGATTGGCCAATAGGGGCGGCCCAGCTCGACCCTTGCAACCATAACAAATGCCCCTACTGTACATTCAGTACACAGAAGTAGGACGAAGCGGATGCACCCGGTTGCAACACACCGATCGTGGAAGAAATCAAAACAGCGAAGAAGATGCAGCGTTGGGAAGATGTTAAAGATCAAACTAAACATGGGGAGTTACATCGGGCGATGTTTTGGTAGTTGGATACACTACTAAGAGATTGGGACCCACCGTATCTTCTCGGAATGTCGCAGAACTACTTCATCTAATGCAGTAACTGCCGAAGAAACATAAGCATAAAAAATTAGAGTACTTATTCTCGCATACCCAGCAAGAGCAGGTACTTGGAAGTATTTGGCCACATTACAAAGTGAATGTAAAGGAAGCGCCGCGAGGATGCAGGACAAGAACAAAAGCAAAACTATGTCAGGCGATGCATGGGCCAATGATGTAAACAGATGCAAGGACTCCAATCCCTATACTGAACGTGGAACGCGATGCGGAACTGCCATGCATTAAGTTACTTTGTCAAGTAAATGAGTGGCCTGCTGATCATCAATGAAAACCACTGACGTTCCTGCCCTGAGCCAATCAAGCTGAATATAAAGCCTGTAAATTGTTGTACCACATGGCAAAGATAGGAAGAGGAAAGCTGACCAACTGGAAAAAAGACACCAAACTCGTAGTTTGGTATGAGTCTCTTTGAAGACATTAAAAAGCCCGCTAGCGTCGACTAGTGAACCACAAGGAAAACTAACGACCGTATCCCGTTAAGATCCAACATAACCAGGGATGCAGCAGGGCTGATGTCGATGTGTTTCCCTTTAAAAGAGTTCAGGCAACTTATTGTATATGCCAATAATAAACTAGCAGAATCATCAATAGATTTATCCAGGGAAATCGAAAACAACTTGCGACAGCGGTCTTAAAGTCACTTGGGGCGATATCGCTGCGAGTAGACATTTTGAGCATAGGTAAATAAATAAATAAATGGCTTATTCTCAAATTTACAGATACACCAAATCAGGCATGATCAAGAGAGTAACAAGTAGGTGACTTTTACATATTGCCAGGGTCGTCACGTCGTTACATGGAGTGTCTAATAGGATACCTGCACAATAATCTGGTTCTAGACCCGATTGTCTGAAGATGAGTCCCACAAATACAGTGCGGTCTTCAATGATGGACAGTGCGCTTTCCTCATTGAAAGATAACCGCAAATGCGCGCGAGAAATCTTTTACGTTTATTACAACCGCGTCAGTAAAGGGTCAATTAAGGTCGCTCATCGATTCAAAATGAAAGATGAGGGAAGCCGACTCATCGAGCCTGATGGTACGCCGTTAACCCGTTACGAAACGTGCATTCAGATCTAAGGAACAGATCCAGCCAAGCCTGACTGAGTATGTGCTGTTCGTCAACTGATCACCGATATCGAAAACAGGTGACATCGGAGTAAGAACCCACTGATAGCGACAATTCGTGAGCCCACTGGGATCCACAATCCGAGAAAAAAGGAAGTGGTTTTCAATAGGTTAGTAAAGAGGACTGGGGAACTGTTATAGATCTGCTTTCGTTGAACGCACTCAATGGAAAGTTCGCCTATGGTCGTGGCCATGCGTCCAGTGGATGAGTACGCAATTCGACCAGTCAAGCAAAAACGCCTGTGCGCAAACTAGCCATCATCTATACAAACGACAGAACTCTGTAAACTAAATACCGTGCGCGTTCAATACGAGAAGGATGTAACCTCACGACAGCAAGCCAACCAGAGTTAGAGAAAACAAAGACATACGGTTCACCGAAAACTTTACTGACTCAGGTTGAAACATCTTCTTAGTTGTAACAAAAATTAGTCACCACGCCGGGCCTGAGTTCCGGTGGGACGAATTTGGTCACGCGTCGTGGTTTGGAAGTCGCGCGATCACACTGCGATTGTCATGCGCCCTAGCTGCTGGATTCCGTAAACAAATATGATAGTCCGTACCGTAGTCGCATATCTTTGCAGATCCATTTGACGATCTCGCAAGTAATAGAAGTCGATTGAAAGGATGTGGTACGGTGAACACGATTGCAATGACCTAGTCTTCGGTTTGACAACAGGTTTCTCTAGCATGCAACAGTAAGCAAGCAGCATGATCGACAGGTATTCCATATCCCCAAGGAAAGGCGTGGGAGATC